GAATTAGAATGCTATTTTGGTAAAAAAAATCCTACAAAAGAGACAACAATTGCCGGCAGATTGACCATCAGACGAGGATGTGGCATTGGTCAAAGCAACTTGGGAAGTTGCCAGTTTTATAGTTAGTGAACCAGACTATGAATATGAACTAATTGTAGTGTGCATGGAGAAGAAACTAGCTGGATTAAAAGTACCGTACAGCTGCCTTTCTAGTGGATATACGAGAAGTGGACATATCCGCTGTGGCGGAATTCGTAAGTGCGTGGAGATGTGTTGCGACACGCATTGCGCTGTTTGCCTCTTGAAAGTCAAAAAAGTGTTTATGCATGTTTACGAGCAGTGCGCCATTATCGACAATAATCGACTGTTAGATCAAGAAAATAGGCGTGCGCAAAAAACTTGTGAAATTATGAAGACTGCGCTTAGGCAGCGGTTCAGTGGGGCGGATGGCATGGAATCACGTCTTGTTGGGTCCAGCATTCGATCCTCCTTGTCGGTGTTCTTCATGTTCACTATTGGATGATGTCTTAGTCCTCCGGCCCTCAGAACTGCATGCTTCTCAGTGGTCTTCGTCTTGTGCATGCTTTTGGTGGTGCTCTTTCCATCCTCTTCATCCTCCTCTTCGTCCTTCATTTTCTTATGCCCTGCTTTGAGCACTGCAACCTGTGCATCCTGCGGACTGGCACAGTGCCATTCATGACATCGAGGATCCGTCGCATTTCGTTCCACACAGGTCGCTTTCATTTCCCTGAAATGGAAATTTCGAATTAAGGAGGTCGAGAGCAATGAGATGCAGTGATCTTACAAAACGTTTAGGAACGAGGCAAAAGATGACTGCTTATTATGTGAGGCAGTCTGCACCGAAAGAGAGACACGAAAGCAGCATCACTCATTTTTGAAGAGCCGAGGTGATGCTTTTTTAACTGCTTTATAATTATCAAATTATGACAGATTCTCATCGTTGCAACGATAATCAGTTCATTGGGAACTCTCTGCGTACAGAGTTGCGACGGAATTCAGGCTTTTTGGTCCTGAAAATTATGCTAATTTCATTCTTGAGCTGTTGGTCTCCATTACTTTTTTTTATCATCCACCAGTCCCTTGGTCTTCCTTTCTAAAACTCACAAATCTGAAACATACACTCATCTTCGACACCAAACAGCCAGTAACTTTCTAATTACTCGGAAAAATATCTCAGCTGAGCCAAATTCTATTATTGCCAGTCTGAATCAATTAGTCCATACCACTGTATGGTACCCAATGACCCATATTCCAAACCTGAGCCAATCTGATAAAAATCCAGCAAATGCAAGCGAAAAAAATGACATTACTCGAAGCAAGCGCTGTCAGGCTGTCTTTGGCCCATACCATTGTAAATGCAGGCAAACAGGTACAAATTATCAACCAACCAGATCTCCAACAGTTGCTCCTGCAAAACTACAATTAAGGGAAAACCGGCAAATTATTGTGTCAACTGGAAAATTCGATCAACGATTTAAAAAAAAGAACGAAATAGCCGAAGCATACTGGGCTAGCGTCCTTCATCTTGTCGCTCTCGATGCACCTGTGGAAAATGCATTCATCGCCAAGGGGCACTGATGTGATACGAAGAGAAACGTCTGTATTCACTCCTTTTACCTGTAAAAAAAGCAATGAAACTGCCCTGAAGCAAATACCGCGGACAACAGCAGCCAACTACAATCTCTTCGTGGGTCTGCGCATCAGTTCTGCATACAAATATTATCGGCCAAATCAGTGAATACTGCTCTAAGTTCAC